CTCTTCCCCATCATCCAGTTCACTAATGAGGACGTTGAAGACGTTGACCCCTGAGGTACACCACCAGTTCCTGGCCTCCACCTAGACTTTGTGCCATTGAACACTAGCCTCTGAGCTCAGCCTTTTAGCCAATATCCATCTCGTCTCACTGCTCATCCAGCCCATACTTCATCAGCAAATATTAAAAACTTCATTGGAAGAGTGCCAGCAAGCAGACACCATAAAGTTTTTTTGTTTGGTTGGTTTTCCAAAAAAAAATTTTTATATTATAAAATAATAGTAGACAGTACAATTTTGCTCTTATTTACATGCAGCTAGCTCCATTAGTTTCATGATGTCATGATCTATATGCTGTAGAATATATTTTTCTAGTTACCATAAGTCAGTTGATACTAACAACTTGCTTTGCTAAGTCTCCTCTTACTTATTAAAGACATATATTATTCACAATATTATCTCTAACTGGTGGAATTCAAATCAATGAAATAAGTCATTCCAGTAAGGTATTTCCCTAATGTTTAGTAAAGCACTGGAAGTCAGTGGAAAGAGATGCAAAGGTGGGAAAAAAAGGAATCAATTTGTACTGTATTTAGAATAGTATCTATTATATTTTTCTCATTTCAATTTTTTCTCCATTTCCCTCTTGTGTATTTTTCTTCTACAAACTAGCAGTGGTCCAATAATCACAAAGCTTCCAAGAAAAAGAAATATGAAAAACAAAAAAAATGAGAAACCACCAAAACCCCACCACACACACATATAAAAACCAGTTAAAGGAAACTGCACTTTATCACAGAAAGAAATCTCACAAAATAAAGTGATTAATTCTCATTCAGCTGTCCTTTATACTGCCTTCTGTGTATGCCTGAAGTCACCCTAATTTCAGAATTCTTTAGCTCTGTATTGTTTCTGCATATATGAGCACTCCTTTAGATTATGACCTTCTTGAACTAACCAACTTGCAAAAACACTGGTTAAACAAAAGGAGTATTCCAGGTAGAAATAAATTTCTTATAAGTTGATTGAGACATTTAAACAGCTCAGCTATTGATAAAGAACTAATAAGAAATACAGCAAAGACTTAAACTGCAGCGATGTTTGTATAGTTTCAAACCATTTAAGAGAATTATCTAAGCTTAATTCTGTTCCTACAGTATTATTATTAATGTCAAAAGACAGCATGATCAATTACTACACTTAAGAAAGGGCAGGCATTTACATTATTTACAGAAGCTTCTTTAATCTCAAGATTCAGAATCACAGGTACCAAATGGTGTCAAAACTTTGAACAGTTTGAGAGTCTCAAAAACACAAGCAGTGCTACCAATTTCTATGAAACTAGGATCAAAAAGTTGTTGTTTGAGCTACTTCAGCTCAAGCTCTCGTATATTTATCTCAGGGAGAAACACTTTGTCACTGTACAACCCAGAGATATAGGGAGTATATGTAAATGTATCACTAACCTGAGTGTACTGTTATTTGAAGTTGATGTCAGATTTTTTTTAAAATATATTTAAGAGCTCAGAAAACCAGTTCCTGTTCTTATACATCCACCACAATGCGCAAGACTAAATTCCATTAATTAGAATTTTCACATTAAAAGTCACTCTTCACTATCTCAGTATGTATTCTGACTTAAATTTCGGTTAAGAATCTGCTTACTTCAGTTATCTAAGAAGAGATTTAAATGGCAATTGACCACTCATGTCAATCTTTTATCACCTCTGCTACCCATCACTACAATAATATGAGCACAGACAACTGAATCAACCAATGACTTAAATAATGACCTTCCCCAGAAAACAAATTGTTTTCTGTTCTTTGGCATCAACTACCAAATGTTCCTAGGTCACTTTAGCAAGGTCAGCGACATTTTTTTATTTAAAAAACACAAAGACATTGTTATAAGACATATGGACGATTCAAGAGGTTTTACTGGCACTGAGGAAATTTTGAAATAATACTCATTCGTTACAAAATCATGTACAGGCTATTTCCTAAGAAGTACTGGATTATCCCAGAGCCAGCATTGTTTCACCAGTTTTCTAGAGGACAGTAGCTAGAGTGTTATCCTTTATCTAGTACTGCAACCCCACCACTTCAAGTCATTCATATTACACTTTCAGAGTACTATAGACTCATGATCACTATATGGCAGCTTATTCTATCTACCACATTGATGGAAATAGAAGGGAGGGTCTCCTGTACAGACAACCTCGATGTAAATATGGGCTTAAAAATCTCATGGGTATAAACATGTGCCACAGCCAGTGACACAGACTACTTTCAAAGTCACTGGACAGAACAGTCATTCTGGATGCATAAACTCACTGCATTTTCAAGACATATTTCTATTAGCATCTATCTTATCATATCTCCTTCCCTATTCTTGCCATCTCCATGTATATCAGAGACCATATTTACCTGTTCTTTCAGGTGCATGCCTTAAGAAGTCAACAAAGAATGCATCAATTTCAGAATCCAGAAAAGCTCTTGTTTCTTTAAATTCCTCCTGAATGAGTTTTGCTGCAGCTATGTCAAACCAGCTTACATCTTCTGAGGTTGTGAAACGATCAGCAATAACACGCTTACATTCATGTTTCCAGAGTTTTATCAGTACCTACATTTAAAAAAAAAAAAAAATATGAAAAAAAGACCTTTTAGTCAGATTAGGCTTCCAACAAAGCTATGCCAATTTAAAAGTCACAGGGTCTTTAATTAATTTATTTTAAAATCATATTAACACTGGAAAGGAAAGTGTAGTATTTTGGGGTTTATTTGGGAAAGATACCTTGAGCTTCTCATTCTGCCCAATAGCATTTTAAGCTTACATTCAGATAACTGTGCAAAGAAACTTTAACCTCGCATTCCAAACTGCGGCATATTTACTGAATTAAGATTTTTTTTTTCCTTAGCCTTAAAACAATATCCACAACATGTTAACACATATTTATGCACTGATAAAACACTTTTAACTACCATTAAGTAGAAGGTGGGTGGAAATAATAGCATTATGGCATGAATAATTTCATGTCAAACACAGGCATCATTCCCTATACTATACTCAAAGTAGAGAGGAAAAAAAAAAAAAATGGTTTCTATTATTTTTTTTCTCCAGATTCAATATACCTTTAAAATCCTTTGGTTTTTAAATGAATGGAAAATGAAAATATACCAGGCTTTTAATCCTAGCAACACTTATTTTAATCCTACACTATCCACACAGTAGTAAAAAAAAATTCCAAGTACTCCTTGAAGATCTCGTTTCAGTCTACAGCTCTTTGTACAAATGACACACAGTATGTCACATATCAGAACTAATATTTATACAGATTTTCAGCAATTGTCTGTTATATTTCAAAAGGCATTAATTGAGAATATACATACATATAATCATCTTAGTACTGTATATTTTTAGCTTAATAAATTAAAATCAATTCTAAAATTTAAATTTTAGATGTAGTAGAATTTATTCAATAAACGGGGAACTACATTAAACATGAAGTGATTATATAACCCAAATTTGTAACAAATTTCCTGTGATTACCATAAACATTGCTTTTCCAGCACTTCATGTTTCAGTGCTCAGAACACTGAATGACATTTCCTTAAAATAATTAAAAAATAAATTATGCACAAAGTACTGAAGTTTTCTGGAATAGTGGTGGATTATGGGAAAAAAAAATAATCACTATGACTCATTACTACTTTTTCCTTTTAAGCCTTAAGCCAGAAATCATTTGTTACACAGATACTAGGCAGTGACTGAAAGTCTCAAGACACTAGCAGAAACAGTGGAAATGGTTTGGGTTTTTTTAAACAATAAATAACATTTTCATTTGGTTAAAATCAGGTCATTGCTTCTCATAACTTTCTTTGCTTGTTTCTTTCAATCAAATTAGTATTTGTCAGTAATAAAACATGTAGATAGAAGCAAATCCTCTCCTGTCAAAAGAAGCATTTTTTGTTATGAAGCAAAGTTGTCATTCCAGTTAGTCAAGATTTTACAGTGCCAAAATACCTTTGCCTCAAAAAAACACTGAAAAATTCCTTTAATAGAGAAATTCTATTTTTCTAAGGCAAACTCAAATGCCAAGAACTTAGATTCTTCATTCTCTTTGCTAAAATAATTATACACTAATTACAGCAAAGCCATTGATGTTCTATACTTACCTTTGGTTCATTGATCACTTCTGATGTAGTGTTCAGCATTCCTTGCCAAATCCTTGAGAGGTCTCGAAGGTTGAAGACATAATGAAACTTCGCTGGTGTGGGCAACATTTTTAGCTTGGTAATCTGCCACAGCCTGCGTGTCAGTGGAACCAATTTGGCCACTGTTTTCTTCACATCTTCTGAAAAGCCCCGCTCAATACAGTAGTGCCCTTCTCCAATAACACCTGTGGAAAAAAAATTGCCAAATGAAGGATTTTTCTAAGATACACTAGTTTAACACCAAGATCTATGATCTTCTTAAGTTTCTTTTTCTTTTTATAATCCCCAAAACCTTTTCCAATTTGTTGAAAAGTCTTTCCAGTCTTTATTCAAATCTTGATTCATCTGATCTTAACACCATTCTGCCACCACTTTACTGCGTATTTAGTTCTTAATTAGCTTCCATTAAAACTATTCTTTTTCCTATTAAAATAGCTTCCCCAGCCTTTGAATAGCTCATCTCTTCTCTGAAACCCCAATATGATCCTGCCGTTTGTGAAAATCTGGTCATTAGTTACTCATTCTTTGCAACAGTAGCAGCATAGCAGCTCTCCAGCCTTGTCACTAAAGCTAGGAATGGCCTTCATGCCATTCTTCCTAACACTTAGTGTATCAACAGACTCAGGGATTTGACTGGTCCTGAGTGATGACAGAAGGAAAAAGTGCTGGCAAGTAACTCAAGAGGGATAATAAGCCTCTGTTTTAATCATCATATTTATAAATAGAGGGATAAAGAAAAAAATCAACCAGTATTTTCAAAATCAACTACTATTTTCAAAAAGCGCATTTCCCTTTACCAAAAATTTTGTCAATGGACGAATTGGAAGGCAGAGTACAGTTGAACACAGAAAACTGTCTCTTGAGCCTCTGTGGAATATCATTGCGACCTCCCCCAGGGTGGATCATGGCAGCCAAAAACTGAACGTCCACAATGTTGGTAAATTCACCAGGCTTTTCCAGGTTATACAGTCCATTCTGCTCCATCAGCTGCCTAACTATCTCATTAGTGACCTGTAAAATAACCAAGTATTACATAACAGAATACTATACACACAACTGAATGAAATACAAAACATACTTAATGTACTTGAAATATCTAATAAAGTGTATACCATTACTTTCTCCCTCAAACCCCCGTTTATTTGCTTCAGGAGAAAAATGCACGGCTAGGAATAAGCACATTCAGATCGTTCTTTTCATTCATAATATCTATGGACAAAACTCCTGGGAGCAGAGAATCCTTATCTTAGAATTAATACTTCATACTTCAATTCGTCTCACTTGAGTGCTGCATGATTTCAAATATTGTTGTATTGGAAGTACTTCTCCCTTTTAACACAAAATTTCCTTTCCTTTCTGTTCTAATCAAGCCCAGACTGACTCATCTTCACATGTTGCAGTTGCCACCAAATATTTTGCTTAAATTTCCATGTGCAACAATCACAAACATGTTTTTTCAAGCTCCAAACACACAATTACTTCCATACAAAAGAATACAAGATTCCTTTCCTTAGCCATAAATGGCCCCCCTTGCTTTCTGTTTGACCGCCTGAAAACATTGTACAACTACACATCTCTACACATTCTAACATTTGTTTCCAAAGCAATACACTTCAAAACAATCTTGCAAATGTATGTTATGACTTCTTCCATTTTTTCTAGAGCAGAGAAGTCACTTCTTACCTCTCAGCATTCACAGTATTTTAATTATTGTCCACACAGACAGTTTCCTATCACAATTTGTATGCCAAAGATTTTTTTAATTACATTTTGTAATTTTATATGAATAAAAAATAAGTGTTGGTAGAAAACACTGTTAAAATTATGCAGGCATATTTTAAAGAGTACTTGAATTGCTTCTAGTAGTCAGCATATTTATCTTCAATTAATTCATTACAGTATAAAACTGGATGGGTTTTTCAAAATGTCTGTTTAAAAATTAAGCACTACATACCAAATTTACCCCCTACTTCCTGACTGAGAAGAGGAGCTGGTTGTAGCAAGGAAAGGTAGCAAGGAAAGAAACTAAGTATCTGTTACCTTCTTTTTTCTTCTTTTACAAACTAACCTGATCTCCCCATTCATTTATTATGGGCATATTCACATCATCAATGAAGACTGTCATCTTTTTGCCTGCAGGCGGACCGTAAGTTGTGCCCATGCGCTTGTCCACGTAACTTTCTATTGTACGCTGTTAAAAAGCAATTATTAGCATGGTTACAAAGAAATCTTCCTTCATACATGATTCAGTCTTCAAACATTGATAGTTTTACTCAGGAAGGTTTAGATAACACATCTGCTAGAAGTAATTGCACTATTTCAACAAGATTGTCTGAAATCTCATGCGATACAGCATTAAGCCGGTATCAGGTATAACAAATGTCTAGTGTAGACGACCATACCTAACTACTTCATAATTTTGAAGCCATTTCAAACATCTTTCATTTTACTCATTTAGCAGCAAAATGTTTACTAGCAGTAAAGATTAAACTAATAATCTGTCAGATGTGAAAGACATGATTCTTAAAGACTTTTCCAGCAGACATCAATGTACTTCCTAAAAGCCTACTGTGAATATTAAACTCATGTACTTAGAGTTGATGAAGTAACTCTGCTCAGTAGTAGACCTAGCACCACTTTCCTTCCCATCATCTTTCCCTTGATACATTTCTTAAGGTCCAGGTTTTGTATCCTCTACACCAAGTGAAATCTCGCCTAACCATTCATAGTTATTCTTTAGCCCAAATCTAAATATTTGTGTTCCTACAGTCCTGTGCAGCAGCCTGAAAAACCTTCTTACACAAGTGGCATCAGTTAGACCAAAATTTTAGAAAGGCAGAGTAATTTCAAAGCACATGTGTCGTAACAGATGGTGCTTTAATATCAACTGTTATCAGAGGCTTGACTGGTAGAGTTGCACACCTATTTCAGATGTCTTGATTATCAACAGACTATCATCTATTACCAATAAATTTGACATGTATGTTATAAATACAGATGTACCAACACTACTTTTTGTTTCTGTAGCCCAAACAATAGAATGAAAAAACTAAGGAAAATAAGAACAAAATTACAAACTTGTGTATTAAATATGGTAATAGTTTCTTCTGTGCTATAGAGCTAGATGATAGATGATGCATCAAGCTTTTAGACAGCACACTTCTGATGACACCACAGGGCATACCAAACCACATTAAAAATATTTCCTGTATATATTGCCAGCAGGTTAAAGAAGCTCAAAATAATCCAAAGTAGCTCAGTAGAAATTTGGTCAACCAATACTGTTCAGGATTTAAGCATTCATAGCTCTATTTAGAGCAGCTGCACCGCATGTGTGACTTCCTCAATGAGGAATTTAATTTACTGAAATTTAAATTGCAGACAGCACGCTTTTTATGACAGATTGTTGTGGGTAGCACTGATTTTACTCATGGCTTTTAGCAAAATCTGAGAGAAGTCACTGTCAGCTCAATCCAATTAGTGAGAACTGACACATTCGACATAAAAACATTAAATGTGATGAAGCAAATAATATGCATAGTATTGTAATAGTCCAAAACAGTTCAAACTGAAGAAGTTGAATATGGTTTTTACGGAAGTCTTTTAGATCCTGTGTTAGGACACTTAGTCCTTTTCAGCAGCTTTTCTTGTTCAACTGAACAAAGCATTTTCAGAAGCATCCTTGTGGCAAATTTTCAGAACAAACTCTGAATGCCATCATGTTGTATTAGATATGGGATGACTACTATACCTGGAAAATTAGTGGGGTAGTTGCAGACGAAAAATTTAAACTCTTTGCCATGTGGCTTTCGGGGTTATATTTTGACATAAAACCTTTGACGATAACAGTCTTTGCAGTTCCTTGCTCACCGATTAGTAGGACAGCCTAGACAAAGACAATACCAAAATAAGGCAAAACACAACAGCTGGGTGTCTTGGCAAAGCCTCAGCCATCTCATTTAGCATTTAAAATTAAATTAAACTAGATAATTAATGTAAAGTGAATTCTCAAGCAAGGGATGCATGGAAGTGAAATAGTTAATGTCTCAGACTTTTGCAGACCTCGCAAGCTAAAACATTTGCCGTTAATGGTTATGTCAGTCAGCACAATTTAGCTAACAAAAGAATGGGTTATTTGTAAAAGGAAATGATCATATGAAAAAGGATGTACCTTCTGGAGCCTCAATATCTGAAAGATTTCAAATGCTTTTGTTATTTACCATAGCCTGCTTATCTGACACAGTTCTGGTGACGATTGGGTTGCATCACCTACAGGTGCCCCCTCTCTACCAGTTACATGAAAAGTTTGCTTCTGCTCTGACCTAATCTCAGCTGTATCTACAGTTATTTCCACTACAGAAAGGATGGGTGAGGGTAAAACAGAAGACGAAGAAAAGTTCTGAAATAGCAAATATGCAAGAGTTCAAGTATAGTTCAAGTATGTTTCACAAACTCACAGACTGGAACAGGTTAGAAAGGACCCATAGAGATCATCTAATCCAATCTTCCTGTCAAAACAGATTCACCTAGAGCAGTTTGCACAGGTTGGTTTTGAAAGTCTTCAGAGAAGGAGACTCCACAACCTCTCTGGGCAGCCTGTTCCAGCACTCCAGCATGCTCACAGTAGAGAAGTGAGAAACTACTCACCTACTGAAGTGTAGGTGGAACTTCCTGGGGTCCAATTTGTGCCCATTGCCCCATGTCCTACCACTGAGCACCACTGAAAAGAGACTGGCCCCATCCTCTTGGCACTCATCCTTTAGATATTTATAAGCATTGATAAGATCCCCTCTCAGTCTCCAGGCTAAACAGACCAAAGAGTCCCCAGATCTTCCTCATAAGGCATATGCTCCAGTTCTTTAATCCATTCATTGGACTCTCTCCAGTAGTTCCTTGTCTCACTTGAACTGGGGAGCCCAGAGCTAGACACAATACTCCAGATGCAGCTTCATTAGACCAGAGTAGACAGGGACGAGAAATTCCCTCGACCTGCTGGTGACACTCTTAGTGCACCCCAAGATACCATTTGCCTTCTTGGCTACAAGAGCACACTGCTGGCTCATGGTGAACTTGTTGTCCACCAGGACTCCCAGGTGCCTCTCCACAAAGGTTCTTTCCAGCAGGTAAGCTCCTATACTGGTGCATGGGGTTATTCCTCCCCAGGTGCAGGACCCTACACTTGCCCTCGTTGAACTTAATGAAGTTCCCCTCCGTCCAGTTCTCCAGCCTGTCCAGATCTTGGCTGAACGGCAGCACAGCCTTCTCGTGTATCATCCACTCCTCCCAGTTCTGTATCACCAGCAAACTTGCTGAAGGTCTGCTCTGTCACTTCATCCAGGTTATTTATTAATATGTCAAACAAGACTGGACCCAGTACTGACCCCTGGGGAACACCACTAGCAACAGGCCTCCAAACAGACTCTGTGCCACCCATCACAACTCCCTGAGCAATGTCACTCAGCCAGTTCTCAATCCATTTCACTGTCTACTCATCTAACCCACACTTCCTGAGCTTACCTATGAGGATGTTATGGAAGACAGTGTCTAAAGCCTTACTGAAGTCAAGGTTGACAACGTTCACTGCTGTTTCCTCATCTACCCAGCCAGTCATGCTGTCATAGAAGGCTATGAGATTGGCCAGGCATAATTTCCCCTTGGTAAATCCATGCTGACCACTCCTGAGAACCTTCTTTCCTCCACATGCTTAGAGATACCTCCAGAATGAGCAGCTCCATCACCTTTCCAGGGATAGAGGTGAGGCTGAATGGCCTGTAATTTCCTGGGTCCTGCTTCTTGCCCATATCTACATGAATGTAGCTCCTAGAATCACCATTTTATATTTAAAAAATTAAGGTCTTCCTTTTGGATAATATAATCTTCCACTTCTAATTAAAAAATTTATCCTGTGTATCATTTAGAGGTGAAATATAAAAAAAGTACCTTCCCCTGTTTCGCAATTGTTTCAATAAGGAAATCCGTTCTCACATTGTCGACATTAGGCACAAGAATGGAGCCATACTCTGGAGTGCTGCTACTTGGATATGCATACTCTCCAACCTGTGCATTCCAGTGCATCCATTCACCTAATAAGAAAGAAAGTTAACATTTTAGAAATACAAGGCAGTGTCACTTCTTTTAGTTTCCATTGATCTGACTCATCTGTCAGTGTCTCTATCTCACATATAGAAATCCCACTCTGTAAATTCATAACAAAATTATAGAACCATATAATCTTAGATTCTTTCAGGTTGAAACTAAGAGGCTTACTCCTCTTTCCTATATACATTATGACACAGACCAGGCTTGTCTATTTTTGTTCACTTGACAATTCATCAGCACAAAGTCCATGCAGCATTCTATAGCACTACATGCACATTCTGATTTCTCACAGGAAACAAGCACCACCAGTAAAGGGTAGCTTTATACACTTTATACAACACCACCAGTAAAGGGTAGCTGCAAAACAAAGCTTGCTAAGGAACACAAAAGAATGTAAACTATAAAAAATAAATAAATAAGTTATGAATTAATTTTCTGAAGGAAACGATTTTTAAATTAATTTTAAAGTTTTATCCCACACCATCCAGCTGGGTTACTAACCATCAGATGCCACATAGTAATCAAACATGGTATCTTCACTGCCTTCAGGGATACAGGGAAGATCAAGTTTTATTGTTGCATGGTTTCGAAGCCAGTGCTCCATTTTGCATCTGTCTCCCAGTTCTAGCACTGCTCCTACACTCCACATGAGAGAGAAGACGTACAGCCTTTCCAAGTATTTTGGAATCAGTTCCCCTCCTTGCTCCTGAAGGATTGAGTTAGGTATTTATTTTCAGTAGTCTGAAAATTCTACTTGATAATCATTAATAACATCAGGTTAAAAGTCCTCAGTCATGTTTAAATTTACTGATGCCTTCATCAATGAGCAGATAGTATCAATATCAAGTAGACCACAAAATACAGAAAAGCACCCTGAACATATCACTTCCAATCACCCATTACAGTATTTCATCTATTAAAGTTCTAGTCCATAATCTGCTAACAATTGATGAAAAAAAAACTGAAGACAGCCCACTGATCCACGCTACACGACAGTGTTTAACATCAAATGCAAATGTGAAAGAGGGCACATTAAAGCTATTACTTTCTAAACAAAAGAAAAGGCTATTCCTTACTCAACTGCATCTTCATTTATATTCCAAGTCATCAACGGATATCCTCTCTACATAACCCCATGGGTTAAAATTATCTGCATTAGATTAACTACATATAAAAAAAAAAAGAAATCCACTGACTTTACCTTAGGTGGGATAAGACCCTGTAGCATATTAATGCTCTGCATAATCACAAAGGCTTCCAACATCTCAGTCTTGCATTGCAGAGACTGACTGCTGAAGCGGTGTAAGTCTGGGAACGATGAAGAATACAGCTGGCGTAGGATTTCGGCTTCCTGCCAGGAACGTCCTTTCAAAAATCCCTGTTAGAAAGCACAGTGAGACAATAAATATAGTTCCCAATGCAGGTATCTGTAAATCCAACTCTGGTAATTCAAAAGGTCCGGCAAGCATGGAAAGTTGTTTTCTTTTGGGGGGCTCAGATTCCCTGCCTGTTGGGCGTAATTCCTACTGCACATTAAAGATTGATATGGAAGGGGAAAAAAGCACTTTGAAGTTTTCAGCAACACAAGATTAGTTCTTTCCAATTATTTTTTAATCACAACGGTTGTTTTAATAAACAATTTTTTTAAAAAAATTAAAATACCTATTTTGTAAGATCATAGAACAGAATTTGTTCTTTAATGCCTTTAGCTTAAAGTAACCTGCTTCTTTGAGTTACCCATAAGTTCTCTGTCATCTGTGTGGCAGAATGCTTCTCATTATCATCCCATGAATTCATTTCCTACATAAAATACCCTCATCAGCCAAACCTTTCCAGATTCTTCTCCAAAATTTAAACCAAAATTTGACACAAGTTGAAATTAAATAAATTCCATTTAAACAGAAGAAAAAAACCACTGCTGCTCTTGATGTTGTGAGGGTGGTCAAATACCATAACAGGCTTCTCAGTGAGCTTCTGGAACCTCCATCTCAAAACTCAACAGAACACAGACCTGGGCAACCCACTGCAGTTGACTCTGCTTTGAGTTCAGTGTGTCCAACTACACAATCTCCAGAGGCCCATTCCAACCTCAACTATTTTGTGCTTCTGTGATTCTTTTCTACACTTCTACCTTAATAATCTTTTGAAACACTATCTTTTCCTCCCCAAAATAAAACAACTATTGGACTAATGACAAATAGGAGATATATGAAAAAGCTTTCAAGAAAAATATAGGTGGAAAACAAACTGCAAACAATTGGCAAGTGAGCCCTCCCTCTCCTTTGTCTCGACCCTCAAGCCTTCTGTTGTATTTTCTCCTCTTCATCCCCCTGGAGCAGGGTAGGAGTCAGTGAGCAGCTGTGTGGTCACTTTGCTGTCAGCTGGGTGGGCTTAAGCCATGACTTAGGGGCTGCCAGGTAGTTGGTATTTTGACAACTGACTGTTCTTCAATTGCATAAAATACCTTGAATGGCAAATTTGTCCCAAAATGAAATATCCATGTTTTAAAAAGTGTCACATGTTGACTATGTTCCTGAAAAAAAATTACATTACTCTGTCTCGTATGAACTACCAGAAATATTGCTATATTAAATACTGATCTATAAGTTTATATAGTGTAAAAGCTATCTCATAGAATCATAGAGGTTGGAAGGGACCTCAAAAGATCATGTAGTCCAACCCCCCTGCCAGAGCAGGGTCACCTAGAGTACATCACACAGGAAGGCGTCCAGGCGGGTTTTGAATGTCTCCAGTGAAGGAGACTCCACAACCTCTCTGGGCAGCCTGTTCCAGTGCTCCGGCACCCTCACAGGAAAAAAATTTTTTCTGATATTCACCTTGAACCTCCTATGCTCCAATTTGCACCCATTACCCCTTGTCCTATCACAGGTCAACACTGAAAAAAGCTTAATTCCATCTTCCTGACACTCACCCCTTACATATTTGTAAACATTGATGAGGTCCCCCCTCAGTCTCCTTTTCTCCAGGCTAAAGAGCCCCAGCTCCCTCAGCCTTTCCTCATAAGGGAGATGCTCCACTCCCCTAATCATCTTTGTAGCCCTACGCTGGACTCTCTCCAGCAGCTCCCTGTCCTTCCTGAACTGAGGGGCCCAGAACTGGACACAATATTCCAGATGCGGTCTCACCAATGCAGAATAGCAAAAGTCACAACATTAGGTCCTGAAGTAACAACAGCAAAGTATTGAATATATGAGTAAAACTTCCAACATGTAATCAATCACTTAGCTATTGTACCTCAAGGATAGGGCTCCAGTTGAGAACTGATGAGCTCATGAATACCATCCCATTCCTCGAAACCGTTGCTGGAGAAGCATTATCAATATTATCAGGTTCAAAGACTATTTTGCAATTTGGTGCCATAGGTATCCGATCTCCATTTGCTAGTGTTAGAGTTCTGTTATCATCCAGGACAGAATTAAGGTTCTCAATCCAAATAGCATCAACAGGACCATCAAGAACTATCCAGATATGGTCACCTATAATCCAAAATAACAAATAAAAATATCTATGAAGGAAGGTCTATTTTCCTTCAATAAATTCTGAAATTCTGAATCCACAGACAGAGCTAGAGTCTCAGATTTTAATACAATTACCATTTCCACCACTCAATTTCAGTTAAGTACTTCAATTCATCCCCTATTGATAGTAATCATCCATTGCTCAGTATATAGTGTCAGGAGCTAATAATACTCTGAAACAGTTTTATGGATCCAGTCTTCATTGTCGTAATACATTATGTTTATTTTGACTTACATAAAATAACATCAAGATACAAACGATATATCTATTTAAAATCACCACTCATTTCCAAAGAGTTTGTGTAAATATAGCAAGATTAAATGGAAGGTACACTTGAAAATCCCTCTTTCAAATAGCATAAGTAAAGGAGGCACATTAGGGGAAGAATATTGTTTATTCTCCAGCTTGTAGTTTTTCTCTCTCTTTCCATTTAGTAACAGAAACGTATCTTAAAGACTGCAGCTGTTTCCTAGGAGGATCTGGGTCTGTCCTGCTCACCTCACATGGCTTCTGAGCAACAGGGCCTGGCTGGAAAGGGATCTCCTGTTGGCTTCTGGCTCCCTATCCCTCTGGCATTCCTATGCCAGCTCTGCTGTGCTTTGCTAGACAGCCCTTTAGTCGGACACGGTCCCACTCTCATTTGCCTTCAGAGTTAGTCTTTACAATCCAGGCCGAGGTGGCTTGGTGCGTGCCTAGCTATGAACTAAGAAAATTCTACATGAGAAACTTTCTCGTCTCTGAAATAAACAGTTCTATATTTAGAGGCTTATCATAGCTACAGTGCAGGCATCTCAGGCACAGATAGACTGGAGTTCACTTCACAAAGAGACCTTACCGAAGTGTTGCAAACAGTGAATCTGAGGAAGTCATGTGAGTGTAATATTTCATGTTGATGGGAAAAGTAGAAAAATTAACAGTTAATGCTGTGCTACATTCTCAAGGGTGTTGTTTTTCTAGATTTGAAACAAAAGCAACAAAAAACCAAAAATATTTTCTGATTTAAAAATATCTGTATTGTTAAAGACTAAGAATTTTGTATGAAATTGACAGTGCAACAAACGCTAGGATTTCCCCTTTTCCCCACCCCTCGTTAGACCTTAAGGCCTATTGAAAGGTCACATACTAATAATCAGACAAAACAAGGAAGAACCCCTCTAGCACCAAACCACCAAGGCCTTTCTTTTAGTTAATACAAATGTAAATATAAGCCAGTATTATTTTAGGCAGAAATGGGTTGCCTATATTGAGTTATCTACTGCTATTTGAGATGAACTATATGTGCAGGTCTAGCAGGTATGACACAAAGGAGATCCACAGCCTTCCAGTGTGGCTGCTGGAGACCAGGTGGAAATCCTGACAGCACCAACATTTCTTATAGTATAGCAATGTCAGAGGAACAGATTTTTTATCTTCCACTTTTCTTCCATACAAGGGCCTATCATTTGAAAGAAAGGGATCAGAAAATTTAGTGAAACAGTATTTGCTACACAATTTGAACACAAAGCTTTTAGAATAGAGACTATACAATAGACAGAAGTTCCTGAGGCAATATACCAATGCTTCCATGTAAGTAAAAAAAAAAAAAGCTAAAATAAAATGTAAAAATCTGCTAAAGTGCTTTAGAGAGATGTCATGCCTCTTTTTTTGTTTTGGAGGGAATCACTTGTCATTATACCTTTTTTTGCTCTTAAGGTTTTTCTCCAGAGTGTTGAAAATATTCCATCTGTCCAATCATTTGTTGCCACATCAAGATGGCCAAACATTTGCGGAGCAGTTATAGCTTTAGGATTCATTCTCATCTCACGATGCGGTTGTCCACAATCTGTGAAGGCAAATCATCAGTTAGTTTTGGTATTTCTTTTCAATAGTGAGAGAGCATTGACAAATTCAAAATCATTACATCCAAATATAATGGTTAATGCAAATTAAACCGTACAAGAAGTTGTATATTTACTTGGAAAACTTATCGCTTGCCATACATTAATATTTGTTAATTCAAGCCATCAAAATTTAAAGTAGATCAACATTCTGAAACTTTTGAAACTACAATTCACATTTCATAGATTCATTTGGAACAGAAGAGCAGCAAGATGAAACTTATTCAAGGTTTAGTTTAATATTTCAAAGGCTCATCAAACAAGAGAGTTTTAAAGCCTTTGGTTTTGATGCACTTTTTAGAAATCTAATGACTACCAGGCAGACAGTCCATGCACAACTGAATGGGGTTTGGTTTACCCCATTGTGTACTTGCATACATCTTGGAACAGGTAAAGTACACTAACATGTAAGATAGAAGCCTGGCAAATCACACAGTTTTACATTTAATGAGGTTATGCCAGAAGATCAGCTGCAAAATAAGTACTGTGGCAGATTTATCTTGGTAGTAATTCACAGCTAAGTGCTACAGAAATATAGGAAAATAGTATAATGCAACTATCTGTTCTTTCTGCTTTTTTCTTTCCCTAAATGGAACAGTCATTTACACTACAATGTAGAGCTCACAATGTTTTTTGAGCACACTAATGTACTGCACGTTGGAGAAACCAGCCAAACCATTTTTTACAGAAACTACCCATATCTGGAAAATTGCATAAGCAGCCTACTGGAGCCTGTGAAACGGGGTAACACACGACTACTTCAAAGGATAAGTTTTTTCTCCCTCAGCTATAAGCTTTTAGTTTAATAAGATAAAATAGACATTCATCCACTAGTATTTGTAGAAATACAGAAGACAAAAACACATACTCCTCAAGCACCCATCCAGGACACAAAATTAGTAACTCTGGAGACTTGTCACTGCCTAAACTATCTCCTAGAAGCAATACATGATACAAGTAGTTATTTTATACTGCAGGTAAAGACCCTGTCTTGTGAATTGCATTCAAAAAGGACTAAATGCTTATGATTAAGGGAAGTTTTCAGCATTACCTCAGTCAAACCTGGAAGATGCTTTAATCTCTTGTTCAAGCTGTCTACCCAGACACTATTTCTCTTTCCCAATTGTTTCTAGAATAAGAACTTCTCTGGTATAAGCATCATAATATAGAAAATATGTATTATAAGACTTTGAATATCAGATGTTTTTAAGCTTTTAACAGATACTATCACAATATTTAGTATCACAACACAAACTGATTCTTCCAGTAATATAACCTCTTAGTGAAATAACTGAGGCTTTCTATGAAGCAACAACATGATTTGAAGTTTACAATATAATAGTTTAATAACAGCTTACAGTATAAATACTTATATACCTGTCATGGCTTTCATTAAAGTGTGGATGCAAGCAGTTTTTCCTGCACCACTAGGTCCTAGTGTCATCAATCCATGCCTCACTTTCTGGGTTTCAAAAAGCTGGATAACTTTCAGTTTCCAAGGAGGATGACAAACAAGTCCAGCTTCCTCCACCTACAGATAGTGACAGAAAAATTGCTACTATTTTAACACAGAAGATATTTTGATGCTTAAAATGAAAAAATAATAAATCTATATTCAGCAGAAGACAACATTCTTTGCAAAAGCTTTTTGTATATAAAAAACTGTTTGGAAACGAAGGAATATTTAGTATTCAAATGTACATTCATAAAAATAAAAGATAAACCATCTTTTTTTTTCTTTTTTTCTTTCAGCTCTTCTTGGGGTGAAAATATCATTTTAAGGAAAAACCAAG